GGGGCGGGGCGGGGCGTGTTCCTGTCTTGACTTAAAAAAAAAATCATCAACCCGCTCCACAGCCTTGTGGCATTTCACTTCCCGCCTCCAACCAAGTGGTCGTGAATACCGAAAGTTCTAGAGAGATTGGGATTCATCTCTACCTCCTCCCCAGCCCCGCTGTCACTACCTTCATTGAAACTACAATTCTTCTCCAGACATCTATGGACACCTCCCTGAGTCCAGCCTCTCCCCAGGCCAGTCTGTTCCCGTAGTGCCCATCACTGATCATGTCAAGGCCTTGTTCAAACACCTCTGAGGGACCCCAGGGCCTGCAGCTATGCTTTCCAAGCCTGCCTGTACCTTGGATCCACCCGCAAAGCTCATTCAACTCCACGTTTCCTGGGCAACATCCAGGAGAAATCCCAGGTAGATCTCGGTGGGGCCTGGGAAGCTGGACTGCAGATAGTTCTGGTGGTTAGCAGGCTGGGTACGGCCTGACCTTTAGGGGAGCCCAGAGCTCCCTGTCCAATTGCGTCCAGTGAGGACAGGGGCCAGCCTCCAGACGCTCCTGACCCTCCCATGCCTCGGAGCCTTTGTTCCTGCCGTTCCCACGGCAGGAACGCCTTCCCTTCCTTGATTGCAAGGTGAATCCCCATTCATCTCTGAACATCTGTTGCAAATGTCAGCTCCTTTATGGCCCTCTCCCAAATTCAAGTGATGATTCCCTTCATTCGTCATTCATGCAAAAGTTTAAGGGCCATTATAAGCCAGGCACTGTAATTACACAGATAACACACCTACTCTGCCTTTGAGTCTGGGTGAGGAGGCAGACATATAAACATAACAAGTTCACAAAATTTTATTGTTATTCTTTTCATCTTTTCTCCTGGTTATAAAAATAATGCACACATTATAAAACATTACAAAAATATAAAAAATGAGTCCCTCAGATGTAACTAATACTTTGGTATATAATTATTCAGCTTGTATTTAATATTTAACAAAATGAGGTTTCAAACACACTGTCTTGCTTAATTCATTTTGGACATCTGTCCACACATACGTGCAGCTACAGGATGTGCAAAGGTGTGGGTGCAGCACAATGGACTCGATTCCCTAGAAATGGAAGATTCGATGGTTTCCAATTTTTCTCTATTACTAACAATGCTGTAGGAAAATCTTTGTCTATACATCTATGTGCATTTGCACGACTGTCTCCGAAGCATAAAATCCTAGAGGCAGAATTCCAGAGGTGAAGGATATGAAACGTGAATAGCTAGCCCCGGACCGCTCTCCAAACAGTTGGGTCAACTTGTACCCTTACCAAAAGGGTCCAAGAATGCCTTGAACAAATAAATTATAAGACCACTTCCACTAGTAATAGAGGCACGTAGAAGTGGATGGACTTTCTCGGCCAGGATAATCAAGGAAAGCAGCCAAGAGGAGGCGACTCTTTAAGGTGGGTCCTAAAGAATGAGTAGAGCTTTCTGGAAGAGGCATTTGGGTGGGGCATTCCAGGCAGAGGAAACAACAGGTGCTGAGGCCAGTTGTGAAAACTGTGGCAGTATTTGAAGAAATGCACACAGGGGTGGACGAGTCTGGAGCGGGGATCAGAGCTGGATTATATAAGGTCTGGGATGCCCAGATAAGACGTTCCCAGAGACTTCATACAGACTTCGACAAGAGCACTTGGCACACTGCGCTGTAGCAATGGACTGGAAACAGTGTCCTGCTAAGTTTAGGCCCCTGCCCAAGGTATCACAAGAGATCTGCAAGTGTTGATTCAATCGATGAATGGAGAGGACACATCCCACCAGAATTAACCCTTGCCTCCTCTCTACTCCCTGTCTGTCAAGGCTGAAAGTTTGTTTTCAAAGACTGTGTGTGTGCCCTGGGGAGGGCAAAAGTTTTACCTACTACACCCTTGTCAAGGAGTTATATCTCCTGAGCTTAACGTAGTGCCTGGCCTTGCCGGAGCTGGGTCGAATCAATGTTAAGTCATGAAGGAAGGAACCGACCACTTTCAGGATTGGACACACGATGCTGGTTGAGGTGCAGTGAGTGACTGGCCTGTCCCTGAAATGGTCAGATGACAGCAGTAGGAATTCAGGCATGAGGAGCCCACCATGATTCACAGTTTACGTTTTGGCAGAAAGATGATGGAATCTGTCTCCAAGTAGTATCACAGAGAAGTGAGAAAAGAGTCCTGCTTAGGGGCCCGAGCAGGCTGGGATATGTCACCAAGGACACTCTGTCTCTGGGTAAACTCTTGGAATGAGTTAAAACTGCACAAGAGGCTGGCTCCTGCCTGGAGTGGCAGAGAGTCCCAACAGCTTATATTACGTACAGAGTGCTCATGGGGAGCCAGGTACTTGCAAAACACTTTTTACATGTGAACTCAATTAATCCTCACAGCTATCCTCTTATCACCCCCATTGTACAGATGAGGAAACTGAGGCATAGACAGATCACAGGGTTAGTAAGTGGAGGAGGCAGAATCTGAACCCAGGCAGCCTTACCCACTGCACTCCACTGCTGCTGTGGTTGACAGGGAGTTTAGAGGGCTCTCCTGATCTCTCTTGCTGCAGGTGTGCTCTGTGGAGTTGAAAATGACAGCACCCAACAAGGGAGAGGCTCTCGATAAATGTTCAATGACAAGATGAACATGTGAATGAATGGAAGCACCCAGAAAGGCTCTGCGACCATGTGCTGGAGATTTCTTCCCAACTCCCAACCACCGTCAATGGAGCAAATATCAACTCGGGACAAGACACCGAGGCTCCCTCCTCTGGCCCCATTATGCACTTGTTTGCACACAAATGTTCAAGATGCAAACGTGGAGGGAGCTGTTCAAGCAACTTAACTGTGATTTGGGGTAGAGAGGAATTCTTTAGGAAAGTCCGGATCGAGAGTTGACCTGCGAGCACTGTACCAGCAAATCCTTTTGAATCTGAAACCAGGATCGAATGCATTTACCACTTGGTTGTTTTTCTGTTTTGTTTTTAATTTTCAGATTGCACGCAGACACACTCCCATTTCCCCGCAATCACATACGATATATATATCTTAAGTCATCGCTGTTCAGTAATGGGATAGTCACAGCCTGGGAGCCCCTGTCAGGCAGGGCGGAGGGAGGGAGCTCTTGTCCTGCCTACCTTGGCTTCAAAGAAGTCCTTGGCACCTTTGACACCCTCCAGGGCAACATTGATCTCGGAGAGCTTTGCCAGCGCCATCAGCCCACTGTCCTCCTGCAATTCCCCCGCTGCGGCCTTGTGGAATATGAGCAGGAACTGTGCGGAAAGACGGATTAGAGTCCAGTCAACGCACTGAGAGATTTACAACAATCCCCTCCGGCCCAGGCTGAATTCTTTATTGCCAAGCCTATAAAAAAGGGTGCAAATGTGTGCGTGTGACCAATTATTTTTTCCCTTATCACACTGTCAAAAATGAAAACATGCCCATTTTTCACAAGGATACAGGGAAATGGGCACCTTCCTATCTCGTTGATGAGAGTGTAAATTGACTCAGACTCTTTGGAGGGCACTTTGGAAATATGTATCAAAAATAAAATGCTTTCGCCCTTCCAATCATTAATTCTACTGCTGGAATCTATCCCTCAGAAACATTTACACGGTAGTTTAAGAAGCATTATCTGTAAAAGCAAAATAATTGTCAATTGTCCTTGTTTATAGCCATGGAATAAAAACTCCAACAAACCTGTAAGTACTATTTTTTAAAGCTAAAAGGTTAATATTTCTGATGTTTTTTAATCATTCCTATTTTCCATTTGTGTCCCATTTTTGCATTAGATTGATTGTTTACCTTTGTTAGTGTTTTCTAAGAGATCTTTATGGAACCTGGTATGTTTCAAATGCTTTAGCTCCATCACTCGCCTTTTCAATTTGTTTTATGGTTATTTTTGACTTTCAAAAATTTTACATAAACTCTATCAATCTTTTTCTTTTCTCTCACCAGTGTTATGCTTAGAAAAACCTTTCTCGCCACCTAGGTTACAGAAACAATCGCCTATGTTTTTGCCTACTTCTTTTTTTTAACATGTAAATATTTAATCTCTGAAATTTATTCTGATCTATCATGTGAGGTTGATCATTAACCTTATTTTCTTCCAAATAGTTAGTTAGTAATCCCCACATCATTTACTGAATAATCCATCTTCTTCCTCCAGATTCAAAATGTGACTGGAATGAATTAATCTTCAAAGTAAGCTTGTACTAAGGCCCCCACAGAACATGTTTTTAAATAAATAAATAGGCCAAGCTGAAAAGGCAGGTAGGTCCCTGTCTTCCCATCTTTCTCCCCCAAGGTGACTTTATGGCTTTTTACTTCTCTTCTTTAAAGAATTTTTGTGAATTTATTTGTCAAACAACTGCTTGTCAACTTCTGTAATTATTTTTCCACTTGGAACGAATATAAATTGATGCCTTCCAAGTCATCCCAGTAAGAGGCTTCTCCAGGTTTTCAGGTGTTACCCAAAATACGTGTGCCTAAAGGGAAATTTCAGGTTTTCAGGGGTCTTTATCATGACCGTTTCTTCTAAAAAATGGCTTCCCCAAGAAAAAAGAACATCACCTAAAGTAGAGTGGGAGGTTAAACAACTTCAACAGACTTTCCAAATGCCAACTTGGGTGTCTTTTACTGCCAAGATCTCAATCCCTGGAGGGAAGTGTGTTTCGTGAAGTAAAAGTCTTGCCTCCACCACAACCACCTGAACACATCTTGCTAATAAGCTTTTCTTTGTAATTCTTGCGTTGGGGGTCCTAACTCCACTGTGGAAATTGCCAAATACAAAGTAAGAGATGAAGCGAGGTGCACGAAGACTTGTAGCTTTGCGGAGGCCTCTGTGGTCAGCTTGCTTGTACAGAAATGCCACGTTCATCCACCTGCAGCTTCAAATTCTCTCACTAGAGGCCGGCAAAGACCCAGTTTGCTGCAGACTATTGTATCCAGAACACTGGCTCTAGAGAAGTCTCAGAAAACAAGCCTGTTCAAGGAGGTGAGGCCCCCCCCTAAGAACAGGATGGAGGGCAAGGGGGTGGGGGGACAATTGTGGTCAAGTTTTTATGGAAGAGATTGAAGCAGCAAAGACCAGCGCTGCAAATGCGAGCCATGCAAGGAGAGAAGGAGTGAAGTACCCGTCCCTCAGTACCCTACCCATCCTTAAAGCATCTAGTTACAGAAGCCCTCCGCCCCATTGCTCCATCAGGCGAACACAAAACAGGCAGTCCCTCCATCCAGCCATTCTCCTGGGCCCAGGGAGGCAGCTCAGGAAAGATGGACCACTGCTCTCAGCCTAGCAAAAATCTAAGTCATCTTGGGGGCTCTTACAAGTACAGCGGAGATGACAATGTTCCTCTGTGTTCACAGAAGGGCTTAAAGTATTCCTCATGGGTCTTTTAACCAGAGCAGATCCTGGCCACCTATGATCACTCTCACTCTGCCAGCTCAGCAAATGACAAACAGCAACCTTCTCATAACTTAGGGGTCCCCCTGCCTTAGCCTTAGTTAAAGAAGAAAAAAAAATCTAGCTCAACCTGAAAATGTTCAGCCTTCCAGAAAGCATGCCAGACATTCCCATTTAATTTTATTACAATCATCAACCTCTGAATGACAATTTCTCCACTGCCCAGCCTTGTTTGTCTTCCTATTTATAGTCCACAAAGACTGGTATGTTGTGGAGAATTGAAAAGTGTCCTAGCTGTGACTATGAGCAAAGTGGGGGCAGGGAAGGAGAAGCAGAAAACAAAGAAACACAGAGAGAATTAATGAAGCTAAAAAGCAATTTCAGACATAGGCTATTAATTGCTTCTGATAAATTTAAGGAAATTTTTAATTTTATGGCCCTGACTGGTGACGCAAACACTTCCCCTGTATTACTTAGAGCTCTTAGATTGCAAGTGGCAGAAACAAACTTTGGCTTAAGCAAAAAGAAGGTATGCACTATACAAAAAGGATGTCTCAAAAACCCAACAGCGGAATACAGTGACCTGGAAGAGGTCTGGAACTGGGAGAGGCATTGATTTGGGGATTAGAGGCAGCATTCCCTCTCCAGCTCTCATGTCTGATCCACATGGTAGAGAACAGCGACCTCACATTGAGTTATTCTTCCAGGAACAGCCACCTGCAGAGCCAATTAACCTAGTCTGGCCAGGGGTCCCCCCATGGTCCAATCAATTCCATTACATCTGTCTCAATTCTGCTCTGAGACAGATGTAATGGAATTAGTGAGGACTATAAGAAAAAGAGAGGAGGATATTAAGTCTTCGCTGTCTGTTTCCAAAGGAGAAAGAGGTGGGGAGGGCCTGGAATCCAATTCTAGATCACTAGAGCTATGGAGGTAGAACTGCTAACATTTGGTCCACCCTCATGACTTCTTGTGCATGTCTGTACACATACATAAGCACACACATAAACCATAAATGTAAACAATCATATTTTATGAACAATTTGGTAATCTGCTTTTGTCTCTACTTTTTATATTGTCAACATTTGTTCTCTGGTCATGAAACACTGTGCTGTATCATCTTTTTTTTTTTTTTGTGAGGAAGATTAGCTCTGAGCTAACATCTGTTGCCAATCACCCTTTTTTGCTGAGGAAGACTGGCCCTGGGCTAACATCTGTGCCCATCTTCCTCTGCTTTATATGGGATGCTGCCACAGCATGGCCTGACAAGCAGTGAGTTAGTCCAGCCTGGGATCTGAACCTGTGAACCCCGGGCCACTGAAGCAGAGTGCGTGCACTTAACTGCTACACCACTGGGCCGGCCCCTACATCACCATTTTTAATGGTTCCATGTATGCCATTTTCTAAAACACCCATAATGCGCATGTATTATTTTCATAATTGGAAAAGAAATGGTTTAATTTTTATTTTTATTTTTTTTGTGAGGAAGATCAGCCCTGAGCTAACATCCATGCTAATCCTCCTCTTTTTGCTGAGGAAGACCAGCTCTGAGCCAACATCTATTGCCAATCCTCCTCCTTTTTTTTTTTCCTCAAAGCCCCAGTAGATAGTTGTATGTCATAGTTGCACATCCTTCTAGTTGCTGTATGTGGGACGCGGCCTCAGCATGGCCAGACAAGCAGTGCGGCGGTGCGCGCCCGGGATCCGAACCCGGGCTGCCAGTAGTGGAGCGCGCGCACCTAACCACTAAGCCGTGGGGGCAGCCCCGAAAAGAAATGGTTTAAAAGAGAGATCAATTCCCTTGTACATGGGGGAAAAGCAGCAAGATAGTACTTAATGGAGACATATCTTCCATATCAAAGAGCGAATGTGATGTGCTTCAGTCAAGCTAATCCAAAGAGAAAGAAATGGAACACAAACTTTCACTAAGCACCTACTAAATGCCAGGTTGTGAGGAAAGAACTGTAGAAGTGAGCAATTGTGTCTACCTGGCAACTCCTGCCCCACGTGATGATGGTGACGCTGTTGACTATAGTGCTTTGTGGCACATGACTGGACCTAGCCAATCACAGCACCCTGAATGCAACAACTGGCCCAGGAGGTGGGCATGTGTCTCCAGTAGAGCCAATCAGAGGCCTTCTGGGACTGGTATAGACTCTGGGATAAAGAAGCCCTCTATTCCCTGGGGTTGCTAAGCTGGGGGATATGTAATCTGGAGCTGCTGGCAGCCATCTTGGCAGGCCCGGGGCACAACACCTTATGTGGAAGGAGAAGATGAGGCGGACATAGAAGAAAGTACAGTAAGGTATGGCAAGAGCAAGACCCTGGATTACTTGTGCCTAACACTTCCACTTCCTCTCCCGGGGATGTGAGCCAATAGTTGTCTGTTCTTTTCTTGTTAGTTGGCATTCTCTTTCTGTCACTTGGGACCAAGAATTCTAACTGATACGGCACAGAAAGAAAACTTAGTTCTTGCAACAGTCCGGAGGGAACACTATTAACTAACATCCCTATTTTAAAGACAGTAATACTGAGGCTCAGAAGTAAAATAACTTGCTCAAGTTACACAGCTCAGTGTGGAGGACGGAGGTCTGACTGTAAGCCTCTTTTCATTACAGAAGCACAGCATTGGCCCACTAGTGGCTTACAACATTGGCAGAACCCGGCAGAGTGAAATACAGTCATGCATCACTTAATGATGGGGATGCTTTCTGAGAAATGCATCGTTAGTGAATTTTGTCATTGTGCGAACATCACAGAGTATACTTACACAAACCTAGACGGTATAGCCTACTACACACCTAGGCTATATTGTACTAATCTTGTGGGACCGCTGTCGTATGTGTGGTCTGTTGTTGACCGAAATGTCGTTATGTGGCGCATGACTACACTAAAAGCAGGAGGTTGGGCTGTGGAGTATTAATGGCAAATGTGTCTACACTTCCAGATCCTGTACCTCCAGGAACAACTGCTAGAGATGGGACCACAATGGGGCTCTGAACTGACAAAGGACTGAATGTGAATGTCACTGAAGCTTTGTGGGAGGGTTGAGAACCCACAACAGGAAGCTTCTGGAGATTTCCAAGCCTCTGCTGTCCACCATCTGTGGGAAATGGCCCAAACAGCAGCTAACCAAAAGCTAACCAAGCATCTTGGATTCAGGGAGGAGCACGTTTGGGGGGCCTCTGGGTAAAACGGGGTAGGGGAGGGATTGTATCCTAGCTCAGTTGGTGACTTGCACAGACCTCCAAACACCCTCTCGATTTCTGTTCCCCACAGGTCACAACTTTGCGCAGAAGCAGTTTCCCCAGTGTTACCTGCAAGGCTTCACCAAGGCAAAAGCATTTACTTTCTATATCCCAGGGGTATCCGGGTTGGAAAGAGCCAGTGCCCAGCATGATGCATGAGTGATATGACAGAACCACATGTGAGAGGGAGCTAGAGGGGCCGCTGTGAAGGGAGCATGGCCAGAGACAACGGGAGGCTGTGTGTCATGGAAACTCCAACCAAAGCCCAGCCCTGAGCTGGGGCCGATTTCAGGCAGGTGCCGACTTTTTGAGCTCTCTAGCTCCTTAGCTCTGAAATGAGAAGGATGAACTAGATTATCCTGAGGGTTATGCCCAACACAGGTTTTCTGTGATCTTCTATCTCCACACCTGCCAGTTCAGGAAAGGAAGAGATGGGAGAATCTGGAGTTGATTTCTTGGCGGTGAGAGGCAAGGCCAGTTTCGTCACAGCTGGGGAGGGGACTCAAGACTGCCAGTTCAGCTGCAGAGACCCCCAGGAAGAGCATCCAACGGCCCTATCTAGCCTGGACAGAAGACCAGTACTTAGCCAAAGTTCTCACCATCAGAAACCAGGACGCCAGCGCTCCACCGTTTCTGGAATAACCAAGGTTAAACACCAGAAAGCAAGGAGAGTCCTCTCTACTCCCAGCTCCTGAGGGCCCAGCTGAGACAGGACTGGATCTCAGTCTGCAGCAGCTGGGCTAATGCTCTGAGCATTTAGCCGGATGTTGTCACCAAAGTTATTCTAATACCAGGTCACACTGACACATCTAGAGGCCTTTCAATAAAACTCCAATACACAAAGCATGGAATTCTCTTCCTTGTGGGGCTGCATCCTTGCCATGGAAAAAACCCGATGGCCTTGAGACTTTTTCCCAAAATAGAAATGGCTTGAACGTTGAGGTTCTCACCCATTTAAGTATCAGGCTGTGAATCTACATGCACTTTTCCAGGAAGACATCTGTGCATACAAAATTTTGCCTGTAGTTTCAGGGGTTCAAAGACCAAAAAGCCCATTCTTGGACACTTTGGAGGAGGGGGTCCAGGGGCAATTGTTTAATTGCTATTTTTTACTATTTTTAAATTCTTATAAAAAAATTAAAAGTTTTAATATATAAAAAACATATAAAATTATAAAACCACCAAAACTTTGTACCCACAAATATCCACTATGAATATTTTGGTGAACATCCTTCCAGATTTCTCAATCCTTACCATTTTTTACCCAAATGAGGTTATTCTACCCACACTGACTTTCAATCTGCATACTGAGCATTTTCCCATGCCAGCACGGCAGTTCACTAGCTCTTTAAAGATATTTTTAAAAGCAGGACTGTAGATTAAATATCCAAACAGCACTCTCGAAAAGCCAAAGCCATTTGCACTCCAGGGGACTGTAAATGTGAGGGTCCTCTCAGGGCACTCCCCCACCAGGGGCTCAGGGTACCTCACGGAAGCTGAGTTTGCCATCGAAGTCCTCGTCCACCTCCTTGATCATGCTCTTCAGGCCCAGGTGGGTCTGGGGAGCCCCCAGCTTCTCCATCATCAGCTTCAGTTCCATCAGGTCGATGAAGCCGTCCCGTCCAGCATCATACCTGCGAGGTCAAAAGAAGGATGCTGATGAGGGACGGCCGCAGCCAGGATGAAAGGACGCTTGTTACTCTCCCAAATGTGTAGTTCTTTCGGCCTCCTTTGCTGAAAAATGACTCTAAGGCCTCCTGCTTTGCAGGGTCCACCTAGTCACTGCATCAGAAGGGACCCTCTTCTCAAAACACCTTTGGGCTCTGCACGATCTGATTCAAAGTGCATCTTGGGGCCAGCCCCATGGCTTAGCGGTTAAGTGCGCGCACTCCGCTACTGGCGGCCTGGGTTCGGATCCCAGGCGCGCACCGACGCAGCGTTTCTCCGGCCAT